GTTTTGCTCCTTTACCAACGCCCTCAGAAGTAACTTTCTTTTCTGTTATTACTAAAGTCAGAAGTAAACGTTTCACAGCGCGTCAAGACTCCATAGTAGGTCATAAACGTGCTCGATACGTGAAAGGATCGAAAAAATCGAAAATGAATGTTATAGGCTGCTTTCATAGTTCGCCGGCCGGCCGGCGGACTATGAAAGCAGCCATACATGGAAAATAAAACTGTATCCCGTATACGGGCCACGCGGTCCCAGGAGCACGACAGGGCTTGGCCCGTATACGGGCCACGCGGTCGTCAATGGGTTAATTCCTGCTCGGTTGATGGTTTGTTTCCATAAGTTACTGGGGAACATGACTGTCTCGCAAAATGCTTCCTAATAAATTAAACAAAAGGACGTTGATGGATTAACGCACTTGTCTAGAACAGTAGTACTTGCAAAATTATTTGATAGGGAAGGTAGTTAAAGGGGAGAGCTTTGAAAATTCGCATTGTAGCATTATCCAGTAATATCCGAGCCACGTAATTTCAGAATCCGAACTATGCTGCAGTTCCACTTTCCCGTCTCCCGTGGAAACCTTTGTAGCTCTTATTCACACATACGTTCCACATCTCCCGGGCCAAGTCAGGGCAGTAAGAGTTGAAATGAAGGTTCCATATAGAGTATATCCTGTTGTTAGAATGAGATTACTTATGTATAAGACCGATCACATGTGAGATCATCATCATGAAAGTATTTCGCCAAAATCAGGCGAAATATTCCACCACAAAACAATTCATGGATTAAAAATTTATGTGAACCTTTCACCCCGTCTGTTCCCTTTAGAAATCTGCAGAGCCGCCGCCGTCAACAAAGTTTTCTACACATACGCCTTACATCAATTATCCACTTATCCAGTTGTTTCACCGTCGCCAATTTTCGCATTAGGTTCACAACAACCGTATACGTCAAGCCTGATTATAGAACGTGAACTTTAAGGAGCGACTGCAGGCAATAGTTGCTTTTAATTTTACGATATTTAGTCGATTATTGTCTCCATCCAATGACTCCCCACGTTCACCATGCCATGTACCAGCTTTGGAACGTAAAGCCCGATCCAGACTTATGCTCTGATGAAACAGCACTGCTTCAAAATGGAAAATAGGAATCACAATAGCTTATTTCATATCATTGAAGCACACATAAGAAGATGACATCATCACAAAGTTTTTACACCAATACAGTTAGAAACGTTCTTAAAGATGATATGCATGAACACAGCAACTCTACAAATATCCATTCAAAAGTGAAATAAACTAGGAATTATGAGAGTTTCTTTTTAACCCTAATAAAATCATAAAATCTCTAGAAAGATAAATATCAAACAATGACCATTTATGACTACAAACAATCTGTTCACTGTAAACATACTGGTAAACATACTGCACGCTTACAAATAATTGTTTACGTGGAGCACTTCCGGCGAAAAGGCAAGGAAAGCATTGACAATGAGCTGACGTTACAAAATATGATAAAGTTTTGAGCCATTCCGCAATCACGAGGCAATGCCAGCTTACATCAGTGAAAACGGTTGCAAATATGACAATGGGAATCTCTTCCTAATGACTGATACAAAGATGTACTTTTATAGCTACAATATGAGGCACAAGCACAATTTTTGTGGAGCATAGTGATTGGTTTCGGCGGGCGATCAGCATACGTGCACTACTTTTCGAGCAGGAAATGATATGAAAAAATTGGATGCGGCCAGTTGGATCGGCCTGGGTCGACCTTTTCAGAAGGAACACTGATTAAAAGTTATATAAAAAAGGTGAGAAGAACCTTTCCAGTGTAACTAGGTAGCTGTCACCGGTAGTATTTAGTCTTTTGTAAATCAAATTATGGCGGAGATGGTGTAGTGCCAATGGCGCACTTCATGTGCGCATGGCCACGGGTTCGAGTACCGATCGATATCCGCCCATTAATATCCATCCCTCCTGGGCCGGTTAATTGGTACCAGATTCGTCTGGGAGGATAAAAGCTGACTTGTACATCGGCTGGCGACGGCAAGTCATTGCATAAGCCACATACGCATTCATACGCCACTACGATCTGAATGGAAGTCGAGACGTAGGCGCATCTCTCAGACGGAATTGTTTAACAACGAAAGACTTTATCCCTTTGATTCAATTTATGCCAATACCTATGTAATTTTTGTCATATTGAAGCTTCTCATCTGGGCTGTACTTTCAGAAATGTTCCTGCTTCTACATATCATCTGTGGGTGACAATATCTAGGACCATAATTCGATAGTCAGCTAATAAGCGACAATTTCAATCATTTTGGATAAAATTAGCCGCAGTAAGGTAGCAAAATGGGTGAAGCGCATTAAAGGCACAGTTCACGATAATTTTGGGTAATCCAGATTATGATAAAAAAAATGGAAGACAAGATCGAGACTAGTGCAACTGAGGTGAAGAAACTGCGTGCATCGGTGTTTCCAAAGTGAAAAAAGGCTTCGAAAAACCGTTAAAAAGGGGGCTGGACGAGAATGAAACCAGAAAAATGAAGAAGGGTGGGGCGTCCGGACGAGCTAAACATTGTGTTTCACTGCGCGTGTGTGGGTCCTGGTGCGAATAACAGACAATGGTAAGCAAAAATTCATTCACTTATAAGCATAAATAAACAAAAAAAAACCCTAGTAACAGCAAAGCGCTGAGTATTCCTAAACGAAGAACTCAGTAACCTTTTAATCGTGAACCGTGCCTTTAAGGTCCTGACAGTGACCGATCGAACATCCCCTTGGAAAATCTGTTCATGTGCGACAAAGGGTCACCACACCCCACGCTACACGTCAGGGTGGCGTCCTCTTGCACCCTGGACAGGTCTGCTTACTTAGTGAAGCAGTAATAATAGGAACTTCATGATCACCACTCAAACACAACGTAGATCTTTTTCGCGAATGGACAAATAGAGAGATATATACATGCGCCTGGATCGTACTCTTCTTTAAATTTTAAGTGATTGCAAAATTGAGGATATAGCAGTGATGATTTTGGTGCTAAAAATTCAAACCATGAGATATTTCGCGCCGATGTTCAAATTGAAATTGGAAATAAAGCAAGGAGGGGGGCAGAGTGATGGGTACTGCAACTTGCCTACAGTCTTAACACTATCTGCCTACGAAATAACGTTATCCTAAAACTAGGTATCACTTTCCAACCTATTCAATAAGAGGACTGATTAGTTTCTTACCAGCCTATGATCCCTGTTTGACTTGAAAATGGTATGATAGCCGATATTATGACTAGCGGAACTTTGGAATTGGTAGCTTCTAAGAAAGCGAGATTTTTCTGTGGCACTAAGTTGCCAAAAGCATAAAGCTTGGGATGGTAGACAAAGCTCGATTGTACAATCTTACAATATTCCAAACCAATACGGAGTAACCGAAGAATTGATGAACGAACTCGTGCAGTGTAAACCAGTCATCGCTCAATGTTATCAACAGAATAGACTAAAAGTCGAAACTTCTCTGTGTGCTACTTCCACTATCCATATGCCGTAATCCGCTAACTGTATACGTACCAGAATCATCAGACGATGGAATGCGATGTATTCCACCAATTTGTTCTGGCCTCTCTACCAAGGGTGAACCTCTGTGCTCCTTCTCCTTGTCAGCCACCCCATTTCGACATCGATCCTCCTTCCTTTCTTCATCATTAGAATATTGACGGTGCTTCATTGTGTGTGGGTCCTCGTTCGCGACTTTTTCGTTCCGATACGGTATCTCCACCACTTTATTTGAGAGCTGCGGTGACTCGGAAATCTCCTCCAGTCGTTGAATAACGTCCCCTGCTTCACCAGCTTTCTCTTCCCGTATTGTCTGCAGCTCAACCTAAAAGAAACCCTCAGTTTTGATACATAGTTCATCAGAAAAACATTTTTCAAAATATCCAAAAGACAGTAAGAAACCCCTTCTTATCTGGGAGGGCGAAAAAGTGGGGGAGTAAATGAGTCTACAAGGTTTGGATTTGCCGTAGTGCTGGTTCGAAGTGTCCGAAGCTATTCAAGGATTTTGATATTGCTCCTTTCCCTGGTATCATTTTCACTAGGAAGCCAGTCGTGCAACCCAGCATACTCGACTCTCTCCAAAGGCATCTTTCATAGTCCACGACCGGTCGCTCGACCGATCGCGCCACTGGTCGCTCGATCGGTCGAGGAGGCCGCGCTAGTTATGGATGCCGCCGTGGACGGTCCCGCGCGATCAGTCGAGCGACCAGTCGCCAGCGACCGGTCGTGGACTATGAAAGATGCCAAACAAATTGATAGCAAAAAGGGCCGCGGATATGTTGTGAAATAGTGAAAACTCACATCGTCCATATCAACAGAATTCTTACGGCGCCGTGGTATCTTGTGGTGCAAGCCTAGAGCGGTTACTTTTCGCTTGAGATTATCCATACCTGTAAAATCCTACAATTAAATGGAATGAGTCAACATAAGAATTCTAAGAAGCGTTCACTACATCATACAGTTATCATAAGACCGATCTGTGAGCTACGCAGAGCTTCTGTCAACAAAAGGTTCTCTCGATAAAAATACCAGAGAGATGGCGACTCATCTATGACTACATGATAAGCAACTGTATGGGTGCATTCAGAGTTCAGCGACGTGCATTGCTGCACCGACCGACCGACGGCGTTGCTGGCCACGGTTGACAACTCTGGACCGATGAATAAATCACGTGGGCCTGAAGCCAGACTGTTCTGCGTTTTCAACGTCTGACCAGCAACGTATCGGTAGGTCATCAGGTCGTTGATCTCTGAACGCACTCAACCCAAAATACTCTGGACTTTGCGTAAATGATATGATTTGGAGTAAAGATTCGCGAAATGTTGAATTGGACTAAAATTCGCATGAAGCGTGATTTTGTAGCATGTTCACATCGGTGAACGCCTCAAGCAGTCTAATTTGTCATCAACTAAAACCGAATATAATATCCATAATCTGCCTTAAATAGACTGATATCAAACTACAGACTATTCTGCGCACTTACCTTCTTCAATTATAGAATGCTCTTTCTCTTTCAGTTCTGGCTGAATAGGAATATCCTCCGGCATCTTTCGTATCCTTAAGCTGGCAGTTGTAACTAATCCTTTTCTAAGTTTGTCCTGAAAAGTAAGAGGTGTCATTTGATTAAAACCTTCCTGAGCATTACCTAAACCGGAACCCAAATTTCGAAATACCCTGTGAATTACGCGCTGAAATTGAGATATTATAGGTTCACAGCCAAATACTACTTTAACTGAGTATGGCAATAGAAGACGGCTCAGACTGTTATCTCTAGAAACCCAATTGCCAAGTTATGTTCCAGCTCATGATATGCCCTGACATTTTTTTCCTGATGGAGTGGTGTGGCCATTGAAGCAGAATATGGAAAGTTTTGCGAGCTGCCCCCCTCCAAAAAGAAATAAAGAGACTTATTTTCCATTCTGTATCGATTTCATCCCATACATTTAATTGAATTTTAGCGTCCAATCAGGGCGGAACAGAATCAAACTGAGTACCTACCGCATTATGAGTCCTGCCAAACATTAGTTCGTCACGTTTTTCCTTAGAAAGAGGGTTTTCAAGAAGAGAATTCCGAATAGCACTGGTAACCTGAAAGCGGCAACGATCAGAAGAAAAGTAATAAACTGCATACGACAGATAAACCCCGACTTCCATCATCATCAGGTAAAGTTCGGCATAGCTTTTGTCAAGCTGATAGTGTTGGTGCAGTGGCAAGCTTACTAAACCAGGATTTATACTACTTTTGTATGTGCATGCATGAAGCGCCTACGAATTGCTGTTAAAATTGATAGGCAAACTTCAGATGAGAGAAAACCTTGCGCTACAGCGACTGGGAAGTACATGAGAGACTGTAGCGGGGCGTGTTGCAAATACCCTAAAATTCCATAGATAAGAGCGGGTGAACCTACCGGTGAAAAATGAATTGGAAAAAATCGAAATTGAATGCAGTCACCCCTCTAACTTGATGGATGGATAAATTAAACTTCGAAGAAGAAGTTAAGAAGAAGCTCNGAGCTTCTTCTTAACTTCTTCTTCGAAGTTTAATTTATCCATCCATCAAGTTAGAGGGGTGACTGCATTCAATTTCGATTTTTTCCAATTCATTTTCACCGGTAGCTTCACCCGCTCTTATCTATGGAATTTTAGGGTACTCGGTGAAACTACAGTACAGTAGCCCTTGAAGAAATTTGTTTCTAGTTCGACCTGGTGAAGGTGATGGCACAGGAAACGCGAACTATTTCCTGACGCTCATTTTCCGTTCAACGAGATTGATATCGCTGGATGCTCTAGCTATGGATACCTGGTGGGACATGTTATTAACATAATGATGCCCCAACTGCAGAGCTGAGCAGAAAGGGAACAACCACAGGAGCACTCAAAAAAATGAAGAAATAGTCTAAAAGCCGGGATTCAGACCCCTAACCGTGCTTGTGTGATAGTGCACCACTGCTACTGCACCACCTCCGCCGCACAAGAACTAGTAAACAAGAAAGAGCTTTTCGCTCCAAGCACATTTTCAATTTTGCAGTCCTTCCTGCCGGGAACGACGCCTTAGAAACTTGGGCTCTGCGCGGAAAGTATAGCATGCAGTCAGCGCTACGCATCGTATTATATGAAGTACAGCGCTTGAGGTTAGGTGATTAAAGGCACAGTTCACGAAAAAAATGGTTTTTTAGTTCTCTCCTTAGGAAAACCCTCCAAGGGTAACAGGATGGACGCTGTCGAGTCCCAAAAGTCAACACCTAAGGCATTGTGGGAGTCCCGCTATCGGATCGCCCGGACTTCTGCCCCTCCATCGATGTCACGTCAGACGACTGTCGGGGCGATACAAATCGCAATATTTGTTCTAGGACCCACACACAATCAGCTGATCGCGGAGTGATACAGCGATGTTTTTCTTCCATTTTTTATTCTCTGTTATTCTTTTTACTGCTGCGATCCCTATTCTAATTTTCTATCTCCGGAGCTGAAAAAAGTGGCTATTTTTGCCGTTACTATGGTTTTTTCGCTAACTTTGCTTATGAGTAAGTGAATTAAGTGAATTTTTGCGTACCGTAGTCAGCTATTCACGCCAGGACCCAAACGTGCGCATTTACACACATTGTATAGCTCGTCCAGAGGCCTAACTCTTCCTCATTTTTCTGGTCACATCCTAGTCCATCCGCCTTTCTAACGATTTTTCGAAGCCTTTCTCACTTTGGAAACACTGACTCACGCAGTTTTTCACCTTTAACGCACTAGTTTCCATCTAACCTTCCATTTTTCGTCTTAATCCGGATTACCCAAAATTATCGTAAACTGTGCCCTTAAGTAAGTGCAGAAGAGCAAAACAGAGTTTCAACCTTCCTCAACGAACAAAAATTATGAACGCTGCCGCAAAGGGCTTGAAGATAAGAGTTAACATTTAGTGTTGTCATGATGGGTGATCGAAAGCTGCTACCATGGAGACCGGTCAGGTCATATAAATAAAAAAGAAAACGGGAAATGTTCCTCTAGACTGGAGGGTTCGTGAAGGGTAAGAATAAGATGATGTTACCCTGAAGAATGCGACAACAAATGACCCAAATGAACCTTGACTAAACCAAATAAAAGAATAAGCACAGTATTGTAAACTAGAAAATCTCTACCAGGATCACTTCCGCGAGAATCTCATACTGAGCACGTTGATGCATCGAATCAATCGCACGTAGTGCCAAGTCAGGTGCTCCGTTGAACAATGCCATGTATACGCCAGTGAGCAACTCCAGAAGTAATGCACTATTTACATGTTGACGAGGTTTCCTGAACATCCATGTTGAAAGAGGCTAAACCCTGAGTGACGTCAATGTGAACGAAAAAAAACCGTAGTATTCAAATTGACATTTTCATAGCTCTACGTATAAAAAGGGAACAATATGCATCTGCAAAAACCCGAGCGATCCCATCCTCGCTTTCTTTTCTTCATATAAACCATCACTGTAATGATAGTGCACAACTATCTCCGGGGAGAGACAAGGACGTTTTTCCACTAATAAATCTCAGATCATCTGTCCCACTAATTAGGATCTATTACGAATCACGCAGCTACGTAAAGCACTGCCTTTGCAATTCTGAAACTATTGAAAATATCGCCCTTACTGAAGTCGAAAAATCACGATAAAAGCTCATTATTTCACCGAAGAATTTAGAGAAAAGCAAAACTGTTCCCAAACAATATTGCCCATTAAACTTAGAGCACAGGGGAATGGAAGAAATCAAAGGAGGCTTAAGTAGAAGATAAAACATAATTCGAGGCGCGAGCTCTAGCAGCTAATACAACAAACAAAAGCATCGTTACAATCTAAAATGTCTGATATCGGGAAGAAGCTTTTCAGAGTTACAGAAACCTAGTGAGCAGTGTATGAATCAGCAAACAAAGGCCTTGGGACAACGATATCCTTTCACACTAAATTGATCAGAAACTTCCACTCTCGAACAATAACGTACTCACTTTGAATGATCTTCCAGCACTTCGCACATATGTTCGGCCTCCATCACTTTACTGGCGAAATTCGTTTCAGGGAATGTGAAACCACTTTCGCAAATGGAAAGTGTAGCCAAACAGACATGTCTTGATACAACATCTGATGAGAGGTAAACCAAGCTGCCATTGACCTGAATACATCAAGTAAGTATTAACTTTGGCTAGAGATACACATATAGAGCAGAAGGGGTTGCTCCTAGACACCTTTACTTTAGAGATATGCAGAAAAGCTTTTCTGGCGTTGAACAAATCTGTTTCGAGGCGAATTACTCTCAGAACCACCGCGGTATTATCAATGTATGATTGTCAATAAAATGTTTCGCGTGGGCAATGCACAAGTCAGGGTACTGCGTCGAAGATTGGGAGGACAGCAGGGATGGTTTCTCGACCAGAAGAGAATTTTAATGGGTGAAGAAGCATGCTAATCGGCACTACTCCTTCTCACAATTAGTGCTAGTAGTGGAGCTTACCGAGAAGACGAGGATACCTGTGTTGGGTGTTTTAAGATTATTGGAACTATTTAAAGTTGATATTCGTAGGCAAGTGATATTTTCGGTTAATTCACGAAACAAAAGAGCGTATGAAAAGCCTACCGACTTCATTAGGCGAGTCAATATGAGGAACTTCGATTCAGAAGTGAATTCTTCAATGGTAGGGTAAGGCCCAACACGTACGGTAGTCTTGAAAAAGTGGAGCAATAAGGAGCATTAGCAAACATTCATAACTTCAAACAAAATGCAAGAAAACACTACACAAAAAACACAAAAAAAAGTTGCCCGAAAAAAGATTCAAAAAGGCAAGAAGAGAAAACAGTAAATAGAACAAAACAGAAAAGTTACCAGAACCGACGGTGCGTTCCCAGGCTTCATTATTGTAACTTCCGGTAACGCATTGATTTTGCTGGGGTCATGATATATACTTGGATATCGAATAGATGGAATGCGAATCTCTTCAACCTAAAAAGTACAAGATAGAATATCGAAAGATACCAAACTCTAGATTAAACACAGTTGAAAAAAGAATTGAAAAATGACGTGTAGAACATAAAATTACTACCAACTAGAGTAGATGCTAAATACAAGGTGGATATAATCGCCCCTTGAATGGGTGACACAGTAACCCGAAGACACGCTGAAGCGCCTCGAAACACAGTCATACATACGGCGCAAAGCAAAGGTACCCTGGGTGAAGCGAACGGAGAAGACTATGGGGTACTAGGGGGTTACGGTGTCACAAACTCACAGGACTTTGAAATCCCTCTGACTTCTAAGTTACTATACCCAGTACAAAAAGTTCAAAACAGTTAGGTAAAGAGAGTCAAGGTTGGAAAGACGACAGTATTGCAGTGTTACGGCGGCGCTGGAGGAAATTGACATTTTTGTGTTTCATAAATTACTTTAAAAATAAACCACTCCTCGAGGCTGCAGCACCTAGAGTGGGTAAGGCTGCATCAATGAATGCTTAAAAACCGCTTATGGGCTGCCTGTCTCGGGTAGTTCATTTTTAACCCGGAGATTAAAGACGATTTGCTAGAGCATGATAAGGGGTGCCGGAACTTCTCCCCGAATTTCTACGGCAAGTGGCAAAGGTCACGTGCGGCTACCCTATCCTCGCACTGGGAATCCAAACCTTTCCCTTCATATTGCGCGACTGCGCGCGATCGGGTGAGGCGTACACAACGCCAGTTTTTGGGGAGAAGATACCGGATCCCATCATAAGTACCCCTATAAATAACGATATAAATCTCCAACCATACCTTTTTCGTCAGAACGTCGGACTGAGGACCGCCTTCTAGGATTTCTTCATTGTAGACGGCAAGAAAGAAGATTTCAAACACAGCTATACTTTTCTGTTGCTTCTTAGACAATGCATAAAGATATGTGCCGATGAAAGACGGTATGAATTGTAACGCATATTGTCTAAGGATGCCTGAAAAGAAAAACATGAATGCAGCGTGGTTAGTAATCAGCTCTGACAGAAAATGGGCTCTGAATATTTATAGCGCTTTTCTCTTGAGTTAATGCCGGTAGCGGACAAAGGGAATAAACATGATTGTAGCGTAAAAAGCCAAACAATTGAAGATTAACGGGAGCTCAGTATGAGGTGATATTTAGGGGGCTGTGGTTTGACCCTCTTACCAAATGTATCGGACGGAAGTTTTCTGAGCAAGCAAATCTCTTCGATAATACACGCTGAGATATTCCTACACAATTCTTTCTCAGCAATTATAGTACTTCCAAATTGCTTCCACACTAAGCATACTTCAATGGAATAAAAAATTATTGCGACTAAACCTCTTGCACACTTGCCTCTCAATCTATCACAGTCTAGCTTGCAGCTAGACGTAGACACCGTTATTACAAGAACTTGTAAAATTAGAAAGAATAAACAATGAGCTCATGTAAAACTTATTTACCGATATTGAACTCCCAGGTAGGGTGACACATTACCAGGATAATACATCTGGATGAAAACCGCGTTAAACTCATCAAAATTTTCGCGCTCAGGGACAAGGTAAATCCTAACCTACTTCACTATTAAAACTGGAAGCTGATGAAATATCTCAAACTATATGCACAAACAACACCTATATGCTTCCCACACACTTGTATTTAATAGGTCACATTGGAATAAGGTGAACCAAAAACTCCATCCCTCCAGCCCAGAAAAGTTTCTATACATCACATCAGACCCGTGAAGCCATCGCCTTACCCTTTTCTGATTCGAGTGGCCCCTCCAGCTAGGTTTAACAAATGAACAAAACGAACGAAAACTTAACAAACGAACCTCCTTTGTAGTAAAGAGCCAGTATTTGCGCTACTAACGGTTGCACTAAATCCACGTCTCTAAAATACTTCAGTGCTAGCAGTATCTTTTAAAAAAGCACAGAGGTATTCTTGAGCGAGACCTGTAAACACTACCAACGTGGAAACGATACCTGTAGTTAACGGTGATATAGTTAGCCAACAGCATTGTGTTGTTAGCCCACTTGGCAAGAAACTTTTTTGCGACCTCCACATCGTCTCTTCCACCCAGGCGTATGGTCGTTCTCGATAATTCCGTAAGAAAATCTTGCAGTTGTTCACCATTCATTATTTCTAGTTCCTTAATGTAGTTTAAAATAAGGAAACTCTTCATGGTGTGCAGAAGAAAATACTAAAACGTCATAAAGATAAACAAAACGAATGGGAAGAGAAACCAAACACAAACATGCTAAACGATAACCCACTTCATGCTTTAAGTCTCCAATTCGCTTCAATTAATCCGATCGTAGTTCATTTGGTGTGAATTTAACCGCTGCACCAACAACACTGCAAACGCCGCCTGAAATGGCGGGGGACGGAAGGGAGACGGAACATTCACCCAGAACTGGATGGACGCGGCAAATGGCGCGGCGAAATTCATGGCGTTAGGACGACTTTGGCACCTACCATTTAGGCGCAAACTTGAAGTAGAGTACACTAGTATGGGCAGGTGATCGTACTAGTCGACTCTACTTCAAGCGGTTTGCCGCGTCCATCCAGTTCTGGGTGAATGTACCCATTGGTTACCCGAAATGGCAGATGTTCACAGGGGACAGAGCCTACGTGCGTCCAAGGATACGCCCGGTAAATCGCGCGGCGAAGTTCGTGGCGACCTGGACGACCTTAGCGCCTATCACTGGGGCCTAAATTCGGATTAAAGTAGATTAGAAGGATCGGCTAACCTTACTTAACTACCCTACTTCAAGTTTAGGCCCTAATAATAGGCGTGAGAGCAGTCCGAATCGTTACGAATTTTGCCGCGCGCTTCCTCGGACAGGCCGCTTTCAGACTTCGACGACCGTCCGTCCGTCCGTCCGACGCGTGCGTGCTGCGACGGTGGTCGCTAGAGTAGTGTTGACAGCGCTGGCACGTGATCTAGTGGTGTCAGCAACGGTCAGGCGCCGCCGTCACAGCACGCACGCGTCGGACGGACGGACGGACGGTCGGATGAGTATTTGAGGTCTGAAAGGTCTGAAAGCTGCCACACATGTATGTACCCATACCCGATGTTCACCCGCCTTCATTTCAGGGTACAGTGGGCGCATACATAGGGTACATGCGTAGGGCCCACACACCTACGTAAAAGCGCACCACCCTCCTTAAAAATGCGGGTATGAGTACATTCAACCAATTCTGGATGGAAGCGGCGAACCGCTCGGAGGAATTCGTGGTGATTTAAACGTTTATGGCACCTATCGTTGGGGTACAAGTTTTGAGTAGATTGGATAAGTAGGGCCAACTGATGCTACCTATCTATCCTACTTCAAATTTGTGCCCAAGATAGGCGCCAGAGTCAGCACGAATTTCACCCCGCCACTTGCCACGCGCGCCTTAATTTAGGTGAATGTTCCCCTAAAAATGCAGGTCCTTGACCCAGTCATGGGGGTAGATCTTTTCTCCCGTCATCGTCTTGTACTTATTTGTTATGTCACAGGCAAATAAGTTTTTTGCAACCAATACCAGTATAAAACCAACAGGAATAAAAGTCCGGTAACTCTCTTCTTACAGTAACTTTGCGGAGAAATAGAAGACAATGGACGCAGAATTTCACCGACAACATCCTCTTTCACAGGTAGCCCTGCAGGAACACAATAAACCTACATGGAGTATCACCTTAGGCAATCCTGGGACCGATTGTGTGTTAACCAGCTCACTACTACGACCAATAAAGAGAACGATTCGAAGGTGGGTTTCGGCGCATCACCCACACCTACACACGTCTCCCATCGCCTGTATCACTTGTCGTCCTGTTGGTTATCGATTTCTTCGACGGAAGGGGCGCCAGTAATGCCTCCATCGGTCGCAAGTCAGACAGGTTCAGTGGACCCTCTTCGTTTGAGGGATAAGGAAAAGAACTCAATTTCGCCCTAAAATTTCGTGACGAAACCTGACCATGCTAGGGGCTTCTTTGTTATTCAATTGCCTTCCGAAAAGATCCGTTCCGTAAAAGTTTCGGTTTGATGGCGGACAGTTCATGCAGAATCATTCTGCTCCTGTGGTTCGTGTGTGGCAGGTCGACTCTTCGCTCTTGCTGCCTGTCGTTTTCTATTGTTACTTCGGTGCCAAAGTTTTACGCTTCGTTCGTTGAGGCATGTGGACATATTCGGAATATTTTAAATACCGCTGATCATGGTGAACTAGTTTGGCCTCTTCCCTGCCATATTATGGTGGCACAGGATGTGTGGCGCTAACCAGTCTATCAAGAAATTGATTTCCCATTTAATAGTTTTTATTTCGCTAGGGAACGACGCAGCGGTGAAAGGAAATAGCAGGAAATGAATGCAAAGCGATTGAGAAGGGAGAGGCAGAACAGGTACTTTTCGAAGAGTTTCACGAACAAGGTAGAGACGATCACGAAGTCAAGTAAGA